AGGAAGCCGCCATGTACGTGAAGTCGGGAATGATTGAAAAGTTCTTAATGCCTGTCAAAAGAAAAATTGACGCCTGATTGGTACTGATAAAGGAAAAAACACATTGAAACAAAACACTTTTCTTTTTTTTCTCCACTTATTACAACGCGCAGCTATGATTTTTCATGTCGAACATCGAAATTTAGTTTTGAGCAGTGTAGTGAAAACATTAAGTAGAAACATTGAAAATTGATTCTATTAGATGAGCGCACCAAACTGGAACAAGACTGCTCGTATCAAGGCGAAGCCCTGAATGTTCTGACCGCCTCTTAAGGTCGATAGAGCAGTAATAATATGGAAAAATTAAAAGTAACAAAAAATGAATTCTTTTTAATTTGAGATTTTTTTGTGAAATTTATCCCCCAACATGCCATATAAAGTACAAAGTGATAAATTTTGCTCCTAGTAACAAATCATTTACGGCAAATAAGCTTCTTTCAACCAGTTCGGAACGACTTCTAAGACAGTGTAAATCTCCGCCCACGCAATAATAGTGCGAAATATATCGCGCGTTAATTGTCCCAATTTGGCAAAAATGGTAATCTTTAAACCCAAACAACTTTACGAAAAATGATCACAGGTGAAATATCTTTTCAAATTTATACTCAGGACAACAATACCTTTTGAATGATATTAAAAATCCCCGTCAAAAATGGCTCGTTAAAAAGTCAAAATTTGTCTGAAAAAACCCCACCCCGAGCACAAGTATTCCGTTACTTTCGTTACAAAAGTCGGAACAATAAATAGAAATAAATTTATTCCATTATAATTGATTATATTAGAGTAGGATGGATTATAATGGATTATAATTATGCTATATTATATAGTAAAATAAAAGAATATAATAGATTCATATGAGAAAAAGCCTACATTTTCCAAAACTTCAAAACCTTAAACTTTGAAATCGCTAAATTGAGATTTAAAATTGGCTACAGCAAAAAATTGCATATTTTCTTCTTGTTTTTTTTTCGAATTACCTCCACGACCCCCTAAGTTTGTACACTAACTCCCACCTTTCTTACTTCTTTCTCTTAACCTCCTTTACCATCCGCTTCCCCACCACTTCACTTACCACTTAATTATAATAACTGTAAAAATAAGCAAAAAATATTTTGAAACCGAGTAGGCTGTGAGTAACGCAGAAAAAGCTGCAAATTTCGCAGAAATTTTGGACAAGTTTTGTGGAGATTATAATCCCTTATAATCCATTACAATGGATTTTAACTGGGCATTAATTGATATGATTTTTCAAAAAAACATTGGATTATAAAATATATAAATAATTACGTGGTCTCAATTAAGAGATCAAACCGATTATGATTGATTATTATCATGAAACCTCGCTGTGGGTGATTTAGCTATTCAGTTTGGTCTTGCTCTTGGATGCATTCTGCTTTCGAAGCATTCTTTTCACTGCAATTCTCCTTTTTTTGCTTCTAATGGTCAAACGATTATTGTTCCGACTTTTACGAAAGTAACGGAATATTTGTGCTCGGGTTTTTTTTTCTTCAGACAAAATTCGACTTTTTCATCAGCCATTTTTGACGGAATTTTTTTAAATATCATTCGAAAGGTATTGTTGTCCTGAGCTTAAACTTGAAAAAAAAATTCACCCGTGATCGTTTTTCGTAAAGTTATGGGGGTTTAAAGATTGCCATTTTGGCCAATTTGGGACATTTAACGCGCGATATATTTCGCACTGTTAGCTCGTAAGTAGAGGTTTAATATGTCTTACAAATCGTTCCAAATTGGTTGAAAGAAGCTTATTTGTAATAATTGATTTGTTACAAGGAGCCAACTCTATCCTTTTGTACTTTATATGGCGTGTGGTGGAATGATTTTCATTAAAAAAATCAAACTTTAGAAAAAAAATTTCATATTATTTCACTACATATAATTTCTTAATGTTATTACCGCCCCATAAACCTTAAAAGGCTTCGCCCCGATACGAGCAGTCTTGTATAATTTTGTTAACAAAAATGTTTCAATTGGATTCAAGCAAGTCGTATCGTCTTTTATGATGGGTTACCAAAAAATGGAAAGCTACTTCCAGTCAATTATAATTGTTCCGACTTTCGATACGAAAACAACGGAATAATTGTGCTCGGGTGGGTTTTTTTTCTTCAGACAAATTTCGACTTTTTAACTAGCCATTTTTGATGGAACTTTTTTATATCATTCAAAAAATATTGTTGTCCTGAGCTCAAATTTGAAAAGATATTTTACCTGTGGTCATTTTCCGTGAAGTTATGGGGTTTTAAAGGTTGCCATTTTAGCCAATTTGGGACAATTAACGCGCGATTTATTTCGAGCTATTAACGCGTAAGCGGAGATTTAATCCGTCCTAGAAATTGTTCCAAATTGGTTGAAAGAAGCTTATTTGCCATAATTGATTTGTTACAAGGAGCAAAATCTATCATTTGTACTTTATATGGCGTCTGGAGGGATGATTTTCATAAAAAATTTCAAATTTTAGAAGAAAAAAAAATTAATTTTATTTTATTACGTTTAATTTTTTTTTATCTTATTGCTGCTCCATAAACCTTAAAAGGCAGTCGGAACATTCAGGGCTTCGCCTTGATACGATTAGTCTTGTTGAGTATTCAAAATCTAAAAATTAGCAGAAATATCAATTAAAGCTAATAAATCCCGGCCATTAAGACTAAGAGTGACCGACTAAAAAAGCAGACAGTTGATCTTTCAATTCTTTCCATAAATATGACGCAATGGAAAGGAAACTAAACATAATATTTATTCGATAGCTGCACAAATTGTACAGCAAACCTTAGCTGTACTCCTAAAAAAATTTCTGCTAATTAGTTATCGAGTTTAGCAAAATATCTTTCAGCAATCAGGAACGTATAACGATTGGCTTAAAAGTTTCGATCACTCGGCCCCCATCATAAGAAAAACCCCAAGGCAAGCTACTGATCTTATCGATACATAATTAAATAATTAATGGAAACGTTTATAATTTATAAAAAAAATCATTACGAAGCCAAACTGTGGACTTGTTGGGCGTACAATTTGGTGTGTTTATGTCTCTGGAATTCAGAAAGAGTTATCTTTATACAAGTTTAAACTTATTCGGAAATATTAAAGAAAACGAAGATAAAAAAAAACAAAGAGAGCGCCTTTGTTTCGGAATCCGCCTACATTTCACAAAGTACACAGTTTGGCCGCTCGTAATGATACAGGGAATAATAGGATAGAAAAAAATGCCAAGAGGGAATATTGACGATTGGTAAATCTTGACATAGCAATTTCTGCCATTTTTTAAGTTCAGCATTTTTGAACAAGAAAAATTATTGGCAGTTGGAACATTCAGGGCTTCGCCGACTTGGTACGAGCGGCCTTGCTTATTTTGCTAATCAATGAGATTAGAGATAGTTGTCTTTTGCTGAGAGTTGCTTTTTGTGCCGTCTGTATTTTGCTGCGGATTGTCTTTTCTTTTGACGCGAGTTGTAAGCTCTCTTTTCTTCAACACTCGTCCCCTTTAAATTTGATTCCCAAGTAATTTCGAAATGACCTTTTTGTGTAATGTTTTAATTCCCGTTTTCGATACGAAAGTAATGGAATATTTGTGCTCGGGGTGTGTTTTTTTTCTTCAGACAAATTTCGACTTTAACTAGACATACTGAAATCTGATTGGCTGATTTTTGTTTTCGCGCATTCGGTCCTTCGCTTATGGGGGATTCCGGCAAGCTTATTTGCCATAATTGATTTGTCACAAGGAGCGAAATCTATTTTTTTGTATTTTATATGGCGTGTGGGGGGATGATTTTTATAGAAAAAATTTCAAATTATAGAAAAAAAATAAATTTTCATTTTTGTTTGTTAATGATATTCAAGTTATTACTGCTCCAAAAACCTTAAAAGGCAGTAGGGACATTCAGGGCTCCGACCTGATACGAGCAGTCTTGTTGTTCCGACTTTCGATACGAAAGTAACGGAAAATTTGTGCTCGGGGTGGGTTTTTTTTCTTCAGACAAATTTCGACTTTTTAACTAGCCATTTTTGACGGAATTTTTTTATATCATTCAAAAGTATTGTTGTCCTGAGCTTAAATTTGAAACGATTTTTTACCTGTTATCATTTTTCGTAAAGTTATGAGGGTTTAAAGATTACCATTTTGGCTAATTTGGGACAATTAACGCGCGATATGTTTCGCGCTATTAACGCGTAAGCGGAGATTTAATCCGTCTTAGAAATCGTTCCAAATTGGTTGAAAGAAGCTTATTTGCCTTAATTGATTTGTTACAAGGAGCTAAATCTATTCTATTGTAGTTTATATGGCGTGTGGGGGGATGATTTTCATGGAAAAAATTTCAAATTTTAGAAAAAAAAAATTTTCATTTTTTTTCACATTTAATTTTTTAATGATATTTATTTTATTACTGCTTCATAAACCTTAAAAGGCAGTCGGAACATTCAGGGCTTCGCCCTGATACGAGCTGTCTTGTTTGCATTTATCTAACTACATGTTTTGTCCTATTTTGATAATTTAGTTCCAAAAAACATCCAATTTTGGTAAACTGATTTTTTATTAGTATTTTTTCAGGAAACATTTCATTAACTGTGGCTTAGCAAATACCTTCCGAGAATGTTAATTGCGTGTTGAGAAGTTCTCTTATGTGATACATCTTCTTGGCCACTCTGGAGCTGATTCGGGGACCAGTTTGGCCTCGGTCGTTCCTCTGGGCGTCGTAGGTTCTGTTCACATCCTCCAATACCGCCCATGGGAACTGGTGTCCGGCTGTGAAGTGGAACTGGCCTGGGTTGATCTTCCGGCCTCTCTGACTCTTTTCAGGGATGTTGCATGGGCTGTCTGAGTGGGACATTAACCTGAAAACACATTTTTTAAATAAGGTAGAACAATTTTAAAAGAGTAGAGATGGAGATGTGTTTCCGTATTTCGATCGAAAAGTTAATGGGTGTAAATGAGAGTTCTTGAGACCTAATCTGCAATTTTAGCTCGCTGCCTATTGTCGAGATAACATTTGCCAACTCAGAGAAGTTTCAAGATATAGTATTTAGATCTCAACCAACAAGTGCTGTGCTGTATTGAGGGTTATCGAGTTATGTGATTTTTTCACAAATTTCTTCTAATGAGGATCTTTTTGAGAAAATGATGAACATATTTTTGCGATGAAACAAAAGAAAAACATACTTCGTGAAAACACAGCCCCAAAAAATATTCTACGAAACTCACAATGCAGGTTTTCCATTCTCAATCACAATATAATCCTTCAAGTGTTTTAAACTCCTCAGCACGATGACATCTAGATCTAGATACGTGCCTCCATATTTGTACCCCGCAGCCATCCTTGCAATGTCACTGTAGTGCACTGTTCTGTGCTCCACAACTCTCGCCACTCGCTCCTCGAGACCCTCTGCCGACGTTCCACGCAGTAACTCCCCAAGATCAGTCGTGTAGAACTCCACGTTGTCGTAATTGTAGTACAGTTCGCACAAGCTGTCACTCTTTGAGAGATCCAAAGTGGGTGATTTGAACAAGACTTTCGATATAAGTTCTGATTTTAAAGCTGCCGATTCAACGGAACAGGATTGCCGTGAGTCCAGATAAGATTTGCCGGATGTTTCCATGAAGAAGGCCTGGTTTGTTTCGGAGTTGGCTACTGTGAACTTCGGCAATTCTATCACTTTTTTGCAATGTTCGTCTGTAAGTGTGCTTTTAGTTATCACTGCAGTTTTGGGCGAAGGCAAGGGTGGAAAATCGTCGTTTGGTTTGACATAATTCAATCCATATATGGCAGAAATTTGCGATGCTAAAAAACACTCAGCTTGAGATTATTTGTCTCCACCTCCTTTCAACTCTTTAACATTTTGGAATTGGAAAATGGAAAAAGTTTATCGAAAACATAAAGTCAGTTTTGTTGAATACAAAGAGTATGATCGGAAAATGAGAAGTTGCTTTGTGAATAAGAAAAGAAAACACTTTCAGCAAAATCAACGTATTATGTACTGAAACCCTAAGTATGAAAAATGTTGATGAATTATATACGACTTCAACTCAAATTTTAATGGGAAGTTTCAGTCCAATTAAACTTGAAGATTTACATCCGACTGTTTTATCAATATCACATGCGACCCCTCCTCATGATTTATTTCGAACAGTTATCTTCAAAAATTTATCAAAAGAGTTTATAAGGGCCTCATTTTGTTAATATGTTAAATACGTGTATTGAAACAGGAGTTTTTCCGAATGATCGTAATGAAACCGTTATAATTCCGACATTTAAAAAAGAAAACCTAGATCCTGAACTGCTTGCCTTGTACCGACCAGTATCTAACCTTGTGTTTCTTTCTAAGTTCTTTGAACAACTTATACACACGCAAATAGTAGAACATGTAACTAACTTCGATCTCATGGATGATAGTCAGTCTGCATATAGAACGGGTGTTTCAACGGAAACATAAATATTAGAAACGTCAAAAGATACTTGTAATTTTTTGGACTCAAATCAATACCTGATTTTGATCGGCCTAGACTTGTCAACTGCCTTTGCTACACTTTAGTTTGATTGATTACTCAGAATCATGCAGAATTATATTGGACTTTCTAATAACACACTGAATTGGTTTAGACCGTAACTCAGTAATCGGCGACAGAAGGTTTACCTTGAGCATGGTGTTCATTGAGCATATGTGTTCATTCAGTAGGTTTATATTGAGCATTTTGTTGAGCATGGTGTTCCTCAAAGGCCGAACCTAGGATCCCTCTTATTTTGCTTTTATGTTTTACCTCTTGGAGATATCTGTTTGAATCTCGATGCTTTCTATCAATCGCACGCGGATGATACCTTATTTTATGTTGCTGCAAACCTCAAAGACAATGATCATGCCATGGTCAAAGAGAAATTTCATTCGTTATAACTAATGTACGCGGTTGTTACAAGAAACTTGGCTTGGTGGTGAACTCTGACAAAATTGTGATTTTTTCTCTGGTCAAATCTAGCTTGAAAATGGAATTGGGAACTTTCTTTGTTTATTCAAACGAAGTGAGTGTTGTAAACGAACTAAAAACTTTAGGGGTGATATGAACTGGAATGCTGCTACGCACATTAACAAGTTAACAAAGACAAGTTACTTCGTCTTGTGCAAATTATACAGTGTTAGCCACTACCTGGGCTTAAATACTCGTGTTGTTTTCGTTAAAAATCTGCTTTTATCACGCCTGGGCTACCGTAATTTGAATTTGTTCGAAAAATTGATCCAGAAACTACCAAGAATTCAAAATGCTGGCGCGATATTATGTGTTTCTGGCACATCCGCAGACCTCATCAATTATTCTACTTCATAAACATAGTTTGTCAGCGTATTAAATTCAAGTCTCTAGTTCTTCTCCACAAAATACCTTATAATGATAAAGCAGAGTATTATGATGGAATTACGACTAAGATACGGCAACGTATTGCACATCACCGATGGAATGCTAATATACGTCTACCTATGGCACGTTCAAAATATGGAAAGAGATATTTCACATTTGCGGGTGCAAAATTATGGAACAGCCTAACCCGGGAACCTAAATTAGAATCGGATGATTTAATTCCTAGGAAAAAACTGAAGACCCACCGATTTCAACAACATTTCTACTGAGACCAGAATACGTTTGAGTGGAGAAAAGGTGTCAAAAGAAACCCATTCTTGAATGGAAATAAATGGATTTTGAGAAACTATTTTCACAATGCAGTAATGTGACAAATATGTAACAATTAATCTATACTGATCACATTTACTTTTCACGCCTCAAATGACCACGCATTAATTCACTTGCCACGCATTAAATTATAGTACCCTGCAGGGATCTGGATAGAATAAAGTTTCAGTTGAAAAAGTATTTTTATTATTTTAGGGCCCAAAAAATTTCAAAAAAGTGTGAAATCCTTCAATTTTTTTCTCAAAAAAGCTCAAATTCCAATTCTGCAGCATCTGCGTTTTTCGACAGTAACGCAGTTTTTGATTCAAAAGTTTTGACTTCTGCTGATTGTTATCCGCGAATGGAAAATTTTAGCACGGCTTTTCATCACAAAATTTTTGTTGTGTTTCAGCCAAATTTTATCAGGTTCGCATGTTTTCGCTTACTTTTTCGTAGTTATTTAGGAGCAAAAAGATTTTAAAATTCATGAATAAATCGCTCCGTGGTAATCAGTACAACAATTATGAAACATACAATTTAATGAGTGTCTATGCAGGAGTGTGTATGCATGATTGAATATTGGCAAAACCATGAATTGTAGGACAATTTTGTAATGCAGGATAATAAAAACCGCACTGAATGGTTTCGGATTGATTTAAATTGATTTTAAATCAATCCAAATTGATTAACAATGTATATTTTAAGAAATTAAATGGATTTTAAATCTATTTAAATGGATGTTTTTTTGAAAAAGCGTCTAAGAAATTGATTTAATTTGATTTGGATGGATTTTCCGACTCAGTAAAATCTATCGGAATCTCATTTAAATCCATTTTAAATCGAGTTTTTTTGAAAACTTTGGACCGATTTAAAAGTCCAAACTTCAATTTAAATCAATCAAGATGGGTTTTCAGACTCACTAAAATCAATTTTTTGCTAACACGGCAAAAAAAATTTTCTCGATTTTTTAAATAAAAACTCATTTGCCAGCTGTTATAGAATTTAAAAAAATGTTTGACTAAATCAGAGTATTGGCAAAAATCTAAGAAACAAAGAAAAAAGGATCAGAATAATTTTTGATCTCAATATGCAAGTAAATCATATAAATTCATGAATAAAAATCCGATTTTGAGCAACTGATGATGATGAAACTAGTTAAGAAAAAGGTCAATATGGATCAGTTTTTGAATTCAATATCTGCAAGGAAATCATATAATTTTATATTTTGGTCTTTTTTATGCTACAATACAAAAAGGATTTGAAATGAAAAATGATAGGCAAGGAACTAATGCTATAAAAATTTTAAATTGAACAAAATTGAATTTAAAAAATTGATTTAAATCGTTTTAAATCTGTTTCATTCCCCTTAAAAAAAACAAATAAGACTGGAAAAAATGGATTTATTCGATTTAAAATCGATTTAAATCAGTTTTTGTAGCTGGGATTTAAGATGGGTTTAAATTGATTTTGAATCGATCCAAATCAATCTTTATCTTTTTCATATAATCTTTGTTTTTTTTTCATACTAAAATCTATCTAAATTTAATCATCTTACTTTCATGCTAAAATCGATCTTACTCCATATTTGTCAAAGCGGGAACAAGCAGTTTCGACGGAATCATGATAGGCTACTATAGTGGTATGCAGGCTCGGCTGTACGCGTGAGAATTTTTTTTTTAAAAAGCCAGGAATTTATGTGTTCGGGTTTTTTTTTGTTCAGACCACTTCTACAACATTCTGGTTTTTCTGTGAATCGATCTTTCGATCTGCATGCGGGCAGCCAAGTCTGACCACCGCCATAGTAGCCTAGCCCACAATAATTCTGTCGAAATTACTTGTTTTATAGTCCCGCACTACAAAATCGGCCTACAATTCGATGTTTTACCAATACTTATTTTACTAAAAACATTTCAAGATAAGTTAAAGGGCTGTGGGAACATTCAGGACTTTGCCCTGATACAAACAGTCTCATTAATGAATATCAGAGAAAATTTGGATCACCGAAACAGTCTATAATGCCTAGATTGAGCTCGGGTTAGACAACGGAATTTCAAAAAAAGCTGATTTGCAGCGCGAACAGAGTTGGGCGAGCTTACCTTCTAGTGAATAAGATGCCATTAGTGTTACTCAAAAGGTAATATAACCCTATCCAGTTTCAAGCGTTAATAGTCAATTATATTACCATTTTAGTACCAGTCTTTCTAAAATTGAGAAACAATCAATTTTACGCAATTAATAATCGATTTTAATCTCCCTTTTTAAGATCAAATTTTAATTAATTATAATCCATTATAATCGATTATAATCGATTAATTATTCGTCCATTTTTCGATACAATTATTGTCAATTATAGTTGATTATAATCCCTTTTTTTGTTCATTTTGTCTTCGAAGTTGTCTTTAAATTGCTTATATTTTATGCGTTTTGTAGACGTTGATTCCTATGAAAACTGAGAAAAATATTTTTAAAACTTTTCTATCCATTCAAATTTATAAGGTTGTTTTTTTTATTTCTTTCTCATTAGATTTGTTTTTTTAATGCATTTTAAAGTATTTTTAACCACCAAAACATCAACAAATTGATTAAGTCTCATGATTGATTCGGAAGACTTATTTTTCATCTTATGCGGGAGTCTTTCCACTAATATCAGAGGATCTCTAGGAAACTTTTGTTTCGAGGTAAGACTTTGTGTTCAGATGAACCTAAGCGTTCAAGAGATCTCTCTTTCAGAGATTTTCTTAGTTCGTTAGTTTTGCACAAAAATCCATTATAATGGTAAGAAATTTTTTTAAATCAAAATAAATTGGTTTCGAATGGTGCAAGGAAAAATTTTTCGTTGCTTGTTCACAGTTGACATCCTGTGTTTTTATCTTCAAACATCTCATCTTCTTCGAAAAAATATGCAAATGGTGTCGAAAGTCTAATATCATAGGAGTCAGTTATGCGCGATGAAAGCCCCAGTTAACAGCGTGTGAATATTTAAAATGCCATTTCAAATGTGTAACCGTCCTCAACGCCGACGGATCGCCATTTGGATCTTGTGCCTCTGATGTAAATGTTGGTTGCTCTTAGTATAGCGAATGAAATTCTACATTTCACCCAGCACATGACATGACAATATGGGCG